CCCATATTGACATGATCTTGCTATAGTCTAGTAGCTCCACTTGACCTAAAAGTGGAATCCCTTGGGTGACGTCCAGGGTCGAGTCCCAGTCCCAATCCAGGTTCGTAGGATCCGAGATCGAAAATCTTTTCAGACGGGTAGATTAGGTAATATTTATAAATATTTCAAATATATATTTACCGCGGCTATCTGAATTCCAAAGTTGTCTCGTCTTCCCATCGACAAAACCCCGAAATGATGTCATTGAAGACTGAAGGCCCAGTCTCTTCATGGGTGTTGGTCTACCTGAACAGAGTAGCTCTCCAAAAAGGATCCAAGTATACCGTAGACAAGGATGATACCCCGCTGCACAGTCTTGATCCTTTCGTTTCTGCTCCTGTCGCAAGAAACGTTTGGATTGTCATCTTTGCCGCTACTGGCCCCCTCTGTTGATGCTGTCACTGCCCCCAGCAATTATTGGGATCGAAGGAGTTTTCTGGGAACAATAACCTCTGGTGGTCTGATACTTTTTCTCCTACCGCCGTCTATTGCCAATGCGGCTCCTCCTCGTTCCGTCGATGTGGGTGGCGGTGTCGATGTCGCCATTGATACTCGCAACACGGTGTTGTCGGATCCGTCCAATCTCGTGTTTCCCGCGTCCATGAAAGGACGGTATGCCTGCCAACGCACCGTGGTCGCAGTCGATGGAGACATGTACCAGGCGCAGAGTGCCTGGAAAGCCTTGGGAGGTGGCAAGGGCAACTTTTTTGGTGGAAATACAGTTCCGGAATCCTACGAAACACAACTGATTCCAATGATGATAGCCAACAACAACGGTGGTGACAACCCACAGTTCACAGTGGTGGATCGAGGGTATGAACTTGCCTCTCGAACGGCAATCAGTCGGGATGCTGTGCAATGGAAAGTAGACCAACCCAACAGGATCACCACGGCAGCCAACAACAATAATGTCGAGTTGGTAGTCATTCAGCGCTCTGTAATAACGCCCAATCCAGAACAGGGGATTTTGGCGGGAGGACAAGAACTGATACGCATCACGGAAGGTCCCTTTGTTCGAGCCGTCCTGATTAAACAGCGATTTCGACAAGCTGGCGACGGTGTCGTGGAAGGATTGGAAGTCGTGAAAACGTATCGCGTCCTGGATGGGATTGCAGGTACCGAGTTTCCCACCTCTACCACAAAGTCCACTTTGAGATGGACCAGAATAGGGCCTCTACAACAAGAGGAAGTGGTGGACGCCAAATATGTCTCTTCGTCGTCTCTGTACTTTGATGGGAGTAATTGGTACTAGTACTTTTGATGTGCTATTGTGTTAATGAAATAGCTAGCTATGAAGTTATAGTAGTACCATTTTCGATATAGTACTTGTACATCCGATGAATGAGTCTATTCTACAGATGACACAACCATGCAACACAAACAGTCAGGGAGGCTATCGTTTGAGGCCGCGGACGTGACGTTTACTGCTCGCGACGGACGAAGCCCTGGTGAGTAGTGATTGTGTCATGCTGGACACCGAATCACCGCCCAAAGAAGGAGGCTTGAATTCCAACACCCAAATGGGAGCACCGGGTGCAACAATGGTTCCAAAGCAGATTGTTCCGGGTGCAGCAGCGCCGGCCACGTTCACAGCACGGTCCACGACTTTTCCAATGTAGACCGCCCTCCCCGTGCGCTTGTGTGGCCCCATACTAGAGAACTCGCCCTGGAAACAGCCAATCTTGAGCCGATTCCCAATCTTGTTGGGGTCTCCTTGGATATGCCAATCGCGCAGCTTTTGCAACAGCATGAAACCGAAACACAGCGCATTGGCAGGTCCATCAAAGGCAACCATCAGGTCCTTGCAGTGATATGCACCACTACCAAAAGAGTTGACCAGGCACCCAACCATATGGAAGAGTCTCGCGTTGACCACCTGGAGTTCCTTGTCGCTCAGGCCTTCGGCAAGAAGAGTTGAATCCATGACCATGAGCGTTACTTGATTGTCGTCATGAGGGGCGTCATGAAATGACGGACAAAGTAGTCGATTGCTGGCGACGTCGAGGGGCGGAAACATGCGACCCATGATAATGTTCATATCTGGCTCGGGGGCAAGCATGCGAGTGTTGGTACGCTTTCGCGCCTTGAAGTAATTGTACGAGAGGGGATGCGGTATCAACTGCACCACACCCTTGGCCATGACCCCGTCGGAAAATCGTTGACCAGTGCCAAGCACAATCTTCCCCATCTGTACCACCTGCTTGGCAACATCCAGCACTTGGAATCGCCCATTAGCTCGCCTGCTGGAAGCAACCACGAGATCCCATGTATCCTCCAATGCCAGTATTTGCCCACCATTGGCCAGCCGCTCCAAGCTCTTGGCCACATTGTAGGCAAAGCCTCCGTATGTGACAGCGCCGGTCGATTCATTCTGGTTGTGCTTGACACGACCGTGCGCAATACTCATTCGCACCCGCAGTCCTCGGAAGCATTCCGCCTCATTGAGAGCCGCTCCTGGCAAGACATGAATCTCGGGTGGCCATTGCGCTTCGTACAGCAACATTTGGCAATCCAACGCAAACTGCATGGCATCCAAAGGATCGTGGAATGCCAAACAAAAGCCACCTTCCTCGGTCGAACTGACTTCGTATCCATCGTGCATTTGTAACTGTTTTTGCAGAATATTGTCTTGCACGTCCAATGCCGCCTGCATGGCCGACGGATCTCGTTTCCACAAGGACGCGGCACCTTCCACACTGGTTCGTACAATGGTCACTTCTCCTCCTCGCGGTGGTTGTGATTTGTTTGTGGTCATGAGTAGCTTGGAATGAGAGCGATGCAGCCGCTCTGCCTTGTGGACCGCGTACCAGTCCATGATTTCTTGTTGTACCAAAAAGCCAAAATGTTGCAGCTGTGCCATTTTGGAAGAAACTTGATCGTCATTGTCGGTAGCAGTAGTATCAAAATCACGACGCGGTTGAAGATCCATCACGGAAAGCGTTCCTAGGACCAAATTATCGGCCGTCACCAATGGAACCCCAGCATAGAACCGTGTCGCCGACATGTCGGCAATATACCGAAAGGTAGCATCTTCCGCCAAATCCGGCACCACGAATGGTTTCTTGAGATGGAGTGTGTAATTGCAAATGGCCGGCGCTCGGACACATCCATAGGAAAATGGTTTGCCATCGGCCGATCGACTGAGCACGCCGTGACCGGAATGTTCCAACATGTCGCGCACCGCCTTATCGTTGCTATTCCCCAAAGGCCGACCGATTCGATATTCATTGGTCGGATCGTGCCAACTGAAAAAGCACACGGGACAGTCGGCCATGGATGCGGCCATGTGCGTGAGTTGCATCAATCGTTTGCCCGTCACCGAATCGGCATGAATTCCATGCAACGACAATTCTTCCACCCAAGCAATACTCTTCATGTCATCCTTGGCAATGGGAGGTCGTGGAATGCCGTGTTGATCGTGCAAGGAAAAGAAATCCGGTGCCAAATGGGGCATTTCGTCCGCGACAGTAGCTCGGCCCCGTCGAAACTGAGAATCTTCTGCCGTGCTTTGGGAAAAGAAGGATTGGAAGGACCCCTCATCGGCGTCGAGTGCGGGTGGTTTGTTGTTACTGTTGTGTACGACTTCGGGCGGCTGCAAGAGAGGTCGTGGTGTTTGTTCTGGTGGAAGCCGACTAAAAGACCCCCGTCGGACGGTATGATCACTGGCATTGACATATCCCAGTGGTTGTAGTTGTGATGGAGGTTTGGCGACTTGTTCGGGTTCGTTGTTTTCCTTTTCGAGCATTTCGGCCGCTCCTTGAAAGAGATGTGTCAGTTCCGGTTCGGCATCGTCCCCTTCCAACGAGAGTTTGAGACGGGCTTTTCGAGCGGCGGTTTTGGTAATGAGCGTTTCGCGGGGTCGCATGTGTCGTTCGACGCGTCCGGCCATTTCCTGGAGGAACGATACGTAATTGTCACTTTGTATAATACTAGATTTGTTGTTGTGGTTGTGACTGCGCACGAGTTTTTCAATGAGACAAACGGATCCGACCCGATGCCCGTGCGAGTTGCACAGGACATGTCCTCGATACGTCATGCCCATGCGTGGCAATTTGACCTTCATGAAAGTGTCTTGTGTTTTGGTTCGAACCAGAGTGGAACAGAGTGATTCTTGATGAGGTCGCAAATGCCATCGTTGGAGTGAATCGACGGAATGATCGTCGTCGTCTTCCGATTCTCGCAAGGCTCCACTGAGGAGTAGTTGTCCCTCGTTTTGAATGAGATGCACTCCCACATAACAGATGGAACTGTCGTTCGTCTTTTCCAGAATATCAGCCACAATGTCATCAAAAATGGCCAAGTCGGCTTCAGTCAGTTCCTCATCAGTGTCAACCTCATCTTCTCTCTTTGGGGTGACTTGTTGGTCCTTCTTCTCTCCTTCTTGTTGTTGTTGATTCTCTTGGGCATTTTTCTTGTCATTATTGATGCTGACACTGTGGATTGCTGTCGTGGTCTCCTCCAAGCAGGGATGGCTGCTCCATTGAGTCAACTCTTCTTCGGAACTAGTACTTTTGCTGCTGCTGCGAGACACCGCTGCCAACTTTTTGCGGACGACAAGACGATGTAGTCGATTCTGAAAGCCCAAGTCATCCAATGTCTCGTCCAGTTCTTGGTCCGTCAAACTGGCCAGAATGGAACCATCCAGCCCATTGTCGGCAATTGCACCACTATAGCTTTGGTACTTGGGGCCCAATCGGGTCAATTCTTGGGAAAGATCTTCCGAAGACCACTCTTCCAGGGTCTTTGAAGGAGCGGATCCCATCTTGTTTTTTGTTGATACTAGTGATGCCAATGAGTTGTTTGTATCTGTGCTTTCTCGGACGAGGAGCACTCTTTCTTCAGTGCTATCTGATCAAACGAGGCATTAGTTTACAATTAATTGTACTAGCTAGCAACGCCTCTTGATTGATGGATGGATGGACGGATGGTACCGGTATGACAGATGATGATGAATGAGGGAGGCAAAGACAGCTCAAAGACATGCCAGTTCAAAAGCAGGCTTCAATGCAACCGCTCGTCGTTCCACTTTTCGTACCGTACCAAAGTGTGTGAATATGTTGAGTCCCTGATGTCCTAAGTACTAACCATTCTCACAAGGTTCAGGTAGGTGTTCAAGTAGTTTCTTTATTTAAGAAAATAGATACGTTTGGAAAAGCAAAAAGATTTAGTAATCAAGATTAACGAGTCAAGGTAATTAGGAGATGGGTGAAGGAGAAGAGACCAAAAAGTTTGTTGCACGTGGATTGTTGATCGCACACTCTTCCGACTCTTCCACTTTAAGCTCAAGGTTTGAAACGTTCACGCCGTGCCTGAAGATTAGACCCATTGGCCATGGACAAGATACCCCAGAAGTCCTGATCCTGCAACACTGGTCAGAATCGAATCGAATCGAATCTAAATCCAGTCCAAGTCCAGGTGCTGAACCAAGCCCCAACTCGACCAGCTCCGAGACCAACGCCAAAGCCATGCTATAGCGCTAGGCTAGCTAGTCCCAGTCCTACACATAGCTAGGACCAACTAATTGATCAAAACCGGACCCAAACCCCCCGCCCTACCGAACCAAAGAAACCTGTAGCTCCAGGGATTGATCTCCCTGGACCTGATCCATCTCCAGAACCCACACCTACATGTAGACTAACACCAGGATCCATTCCTACACCCAACACCACCATGTGCATCTACACTTCCCAGACCAACTCTGAAACCATATCCGAGCCAATTCCTGCATGAACCAATGACAGGGCCAACTCCTGCCCCACACCAGGCCCCAAATGCGGACCAACTCCTGTGCCCACCCATGCCCTACTCCAGGTAGCACACCGGATTCCACTGCAGTTCCAACACCGGTGTTCACTAGAGGCCCGACAACAAGCTCATCCTTTTTAATTAAGCCCCACTCTCAGGATCTCCGCCGTGCCATGGGTTGGAATTGGTCGGACATTCTATTCTGGCTGTAATGATAAGATGGACCATAGGGAATGCATGTCCCTAGCTAGGACGTGCAACACCATATAACCGGTCATTTGAAACAGTGCAACGAGCCAGAGACAGCAGCTGGCTGCCCGTGCACCAATGCTGCAGATGGCCACAAAGCAACCCACGGAGATGTAAGTTCTTTCCCATAGCAGGTTGCTCGACTTCTACTACCGCGCGTAGGGGTAAATACGCTCCACCCCATATTTCCTCCCGGACGACCAGTCCGTTTGGCATCAGACTTGGCTGCGCTGGCTGCACCCTTTCCAGGATATCGTGAAAATCATCTTTGAATTCCAGCATCTTGCTTGGGGACGCCAATGAAGCAAGCCTGAAGATTTGAAGCCTGGACAGAACAAGGATGCCTTTGAGACATCTTTGAACTATGATCAAACATGTTTTCTAAGGAAACTGTGGAGAGAAGAGCTTGCCAATTTGTATTGCTCCGAAGCGGCGGAATACAACACGTTTTAAAAGTAAGGATGTATTTCTTTGGCAGTCCCGATTCATTCCTTTCTTTCCCATTCCTCCCTCTTTCGATGGTGAAGGAGTCGGTGGATGGAACGTATGCTCGACGGGGAACGCTAGGAGGCACTTGCAGATGCCCACCGCTGACTACCGGTGCAGTATTGTTTGGAAGGGCCGGTACCGTAGCTCCAGGCAGTTCCGGCCCCACCACGTAGCTACTGTGGAGATTTTGGGTGTTGCGTTGATTAGAGCAGTCGCCTGTAGAATCGATTGCAGTTTCCCTTCATGCCTCGCTCCAGAGAGCAGCGCGGCGAAGAGACCAGGTTGGAAGCGGCCTCGTCTGGTATCTCATCAAGCACAGTTGCCTGTAGTTGCATACCATGTCGACGGAGCAATGCAGTTCTATTTAGTCGTTATTAAACTTGTTGTCAAACAACGTCCATTCTTCCTTCTTGCCAACATCTCCCGCACCCATCTGGGAGATGAAAAAGCTGACAAACAGTTGTATGACTGCTCCTGGCATTTGGGAAATATGGCAGCCTCTTTCCTGAGGCTTGCAAATGGCCACTTCTAGCACCCTCAGACATTCTTAGTGCACTGGATACGGCGGAGTCAACTTCCTCACCACTTGAATCTTTTCCGACATCTCATAGTCCGGAGTGGCACACACCAGCATCTCCACCAAATGGGGACACTGTTCTTGCGCGTTCATTGGAGTATATTGCCCAATGGTATTCTGCTGCAGCTGCCTTTGGGTGCAGCTGTTGCTGCTGACAGGATGCTTGGTGGAAGCACATTCTTGATCCAGGTATCAACTGCCTCCAAGCATGCCGTCGATATTGCTGCGACCACCATCAAACACCATGAGGGTGTTGAGGTTGGGTTCCAGCCGCCCATTGGACATTGGCAGGTGTTCCTTGGTCTTCGTAGCTAGTATCCCAAAACACGCAAGGCCAGGAATTCCTTCAGTGGACGCACCACCCGACTGCCATGGTGCTGTTTTGGTTCTGCAAGTGTTGACTGACAACGCAATGACGCGAGGGACAAAGTCGCCGATGTTCGCTTGACTCTCCCATGAAAGAACGGTCCATCCAAAATGCTAACGTGGGCGGCTATGGAGGATTGTAGGGTGGTCCAGTTGGGGTGCTTGTGAATCCTCTTATCATCGTCATTGCTTGTCGAAGACGATGGTGGCCATCGTCACAAGTCTCAAGGAAGGAACGGGAAGTGAACACTGAAGGAACGGGAAGTGAACATTGATGAGACGTGCTTGTTGGACACCCTAACCCTCTCCAAATTGGATTCTGTTTGTTGGACATGGCTTGTGTGCGTCTATTTTACTTTGTCCAAAATGGTCGGACACTACTTCGCGAATTGTATGGGAATGAGTTGTGTGGTCTCGCGTGAATTACTTAGACGCTTGGATTTGAAATGCCGAAAGAGGAAGAAAATTATTTAGACGGATTGGTTGGAGTGTAAACTGAGTAAGTACCGTATTGGTTGTGTGGCACATGAAGACGAATTGAATTCAATTGGAAGAGTGGAAGGAAGAATGAACCAGAGACCGACTGTTTGAGTGTTGGTGTAAGTCAATCAATCAACGTGTGAGTCCAGCCTCCTCAAAAAAGGCAGAAAGTTTGGCAAAGAGACAAGGCACATCCATCCACCGGTACACACTCGAATCGTTCCTTGCTTCATCACCGACAACACGATACGATACACCACTACCAGTAGCGACGGCAGCATCCTTCTTCCTCGTCTTTCCACTCTTCTTCTTCTTGAATTTCTCACTCAAATCAATCGATCGATCAATCCACAAGATGTCCTCCTCCAGATCACCATCTTCCGTTCTGTGTCGGAGTATGTTTCTCTTCTTCCTCACACTAGGATCCTCTTGCTCCCTTGCGACTGGCTATGCGACACGACAAGAACACCAAGGCTTTGAACACCATGATCATCGTGTCACCACGTCCGATCCGAACAATGCGTATGCACTCTACAGTCTTCCACCGTTCACCGTAACGTTTACCAGTTCCTACTCGACCACGGGTTTGCCGCAAGATGAAGAGGAACAAGGACAACTCTTGGTGGCGACGTTGCATGGACCACTCCAATTGATTACCAGCGAGTTTTTGGTGGAATCCTTTCGTTTGCAAATCTATCACATTCAAGAACCCACACGGAATACCACCACACCACACGACAAGGAACTCCAAAACATTCTAGAATCCTTCATGACACTCGATGTACAAGTGGCTGTGCGAGCGTTGCATCACTTGTCCTTGAATGGACCGCAAGTGCGAAGACATCTTGCTGATAGTGCAGAACCACGATCGTATTACCGCAATCCAGACAGCAATACCAATGATGGAGGCAACGCCAACAGTCACACATTTCATCAGGAAGACACTTCCACGAGCACTAGTAGTAGTAGCAGCAATACACCACCACTATTGCAATTTGAGGCCGACTTTTTCACCACGGCAGCCTTTTTGGAACCAACGCCAGAACAAGCTGGGGCTTCCAAACCAACCGATCAAGAAGTGGTCGATCTATTGGGGGGATGGATGAATTCCGCATTTGCCAAAGACTTGAACTACTATCATGACAGTCTCGTCAATAGTGAAACGGGAGTGCTCATGCACGTCGAACAACTTCACGTGGAAACCGACAGTGGCGCCATTTATGATCCGTACACCAGTGGGGCCATTCCCAATGCACCACTTGCTGCAACACAAGCACCCATTCGCAAACAAGATGTTCCACCACCTCCCAATGCAGCCGCATACTCCAATTCCATTGGCGCGTGGAGTCACTCGGAAAAACTATTCTTTACACTCCTCGTCATGGTTTCGATCCTCTCTATTGCCGGACTATTGATGGCACTTCACAAGTACAAGGGCCGAGGACGGTATTTGAATGACATGATGGCCGCCAATGACCGATCACTCGATCACGATTTTATGGATCCACGTATTTGTATCAGTGGACGACATTCTGATGAAATTCTCGACATTCTCAATGCTAGTGATCGATACTTGGCGGCGCATCGACCCGACTTACTAGAAGCCATGCAACATGCCGATGCTCGACGACGTGGAGGGAATAACGCCATTGTCCCCATTCCTGCCAATGACAATGAGCAGCAAAATAGTAATGGACCCACCGAACGACGCTATGTCACAGTGGCCAATCCATTCTCTCATCTCTATGGAGCTTCGTACTTTCATTCCGAAAAGACTGCGGTGGAAGCGGATCGGGCGCGGCGTGTCAATCAGGATCCCATGGATGCGGTCGAATTGCAGCAAGACAACAAGGATGCTGAAGAAGAGATTGATACGGACCAGTCCGTGTCCAAGTATTTGCAAACTTGGTTTCAACAGTTGGTGGGGACTCGTACGGTCGACACGGAAGTGTACAAGAATAATGACGACTACTATGATGATGAGGACGATGAAATGGAGGAACTAGACCTGAACGCGGCAAGTGACGATGATCAGATTATGGCATGCGATGAAGATCCCAAGGAGTACGCGTTCCCATTCCAGGATTTTCCTCGTCAAGATGGAACGCCCTGTTTGATCTACGAGGAAACCTTGAATGAAGAAGAGGAAGAACAGTACTTGAAGAACTCGCGGGCCGATTCGTTGCATTCCACCACTTCCTATGGTATCCATGATCCGCTGACGGATGATGAATTCCAGCGAGCGCTGGGAGCGCACATGGTGCCCTTTACTTCTTCTTCCACCAACACTTCGTTTGAGCATCATGCGGCCAACACGAGTGACTCGTCACTGGTCCGGATTGAGGATGGCGATAATGAAATTCAGGTGCATGATCTTCGAACCGTCAGCACTGATGATGATGATTCGGATCCTTCCAAGTTCACCAACAAGCTAGAAAAGATGGTGGCGATGCGTCATCGTCACTACGAAAAACAAAAGATTATGGACAAGCACCGGGAGCAACGAAAGCAGGAACGAGCCCGACAACGTGCCGTCGAGAAGAAGAAACAGCAAGAGGAAATGCAGCAACGAGACTTGAAGCTACGACGCCACTCGTTGGAATTGGATATTCAGGAATTGGAAGCGGCAGTTGGCAACAACAATAGTGGCTTACCAGGACCACCCACATCAGCCTCCAAGGTAATCACCCCTCCCGGCGGTCAAGGTGGTTTGCATCAGTTGCAAAGGCCTAGTTTACATCGTCGTACATCCAGTGAAGCAGATGCTGGATTCTTGGGTCCCGATGGTAGTGTTACTGCTTCTGGCGCCGTCATTCATTCCAATCGATCCATGGATTTGGGTGACACTGGCATGTCCACCAAGAGCGATTCTCACCGAATTAATCGCGTGGTGCAGTCCGCACAAAAGGCACCCCGACCAGTTGCGAACAATAGAAATGATGTCTTTCGAAGCATGGATCGCATCTCTCCTCTGTCCTCCAATTCAGCAACCAGTACCAGCGGTGGCAGTGGCTTGCCTCCAACTAGCGTGACCAATACTACCAATGTGGAGGACGAGATACCAATAGTGTCTCCAGCAAGCTCCATGACGGAGACCGGCACGGATTCAACTCCCAGCAGCGCGGGTTCTGATTCTCACTCTATGCCTCCCCGCGTGATGGGATCAATGAGTCTACGGGGTTCTAAAAAGAAGAAAAAGAAGCACTGCTTTCTTCCGCCTCTGCGGCACTGTCTCGAGGCTTTCAAAAGAGACGCAGTATGAGTTTTGGTGGTGTGGAAGAGAAGAAAGTGGACGACGAAGCCTTCCACAGCAGCAGTCCCACTGGCAGCGTTGCCAGCAATCGCGGGAGACAAATGCTCCCACCGCAACACCAGCAACGCACGCATTCGGCGAACCGCCATCGTCGTTCCAATTCCAGTTCTCCCGCAGATGTCATGGTTCACGGCATCTATGCACAGTTTGTCTAAAGGAACATGCACAATCCTAAGGTGGAATCAGAGTCTAGTCTATCGCATGGTAATAAGTTGTTGTTGTGTTGGCATAAAAAGGTATAATCACACTAAATTATATAGGAACTACGACATTTTTTTTCCAACGTTGTCAGCGTGTGTTCCGGTTCTTGAAGTTGGATCATTCGCAACTCTTGATGAGGTGGGTGCAAAAACTGAGCAATTGCGAGCTGTGTATGTGTGTATTTGATGCATACAAGTTGAGTTCAACACGTTGGTTGCGACATTGCAATGATGCAAAGGTGTTCACTCATGCGAAGACAACACCAAGCTCAGTGACAGTGGATGGCCTATTGAATCCCCACCCAGGAACGAGTGGTGACTGCGAACCAAAAGTTCTAGCAACTTTGGTGGAAGATGCCACCTAATTGTGGCTTTCGCCTTGGCGCCATAACTATGGCTGGATCAGCTTGCATAGCTGTGGCTAATGGCCGGCTGCTCGGCTACTTTTCTTCTTGCCATTCGGGCTCCTTGGGAGATGGTTGCCTGTGACTGATTTGTTCCATCTATTTTACTGAGGTATTTCAAAGGGGGTTAAAAGAGTCGGGAGGTTATCTACGGGTAGCCAGGGTACGAGATAGAAATCGGGTGGCCTTATCAATTTGCATAACAGTGGTAAGGGTGGCAAGTCCTAGCTAGTGTCTGCTGTGGTTAGCCAATCGCTGTCAAAAAATACGGGTAGCTATGCAACAGCGTGGCAAGAGGACTTAATCAAATCGACCACTATTCATTGCATCCGCAACAGTGGCAAAGGAGCGTTCTAGTAATGCTCCTGTGAAGGCTCTCGGGATCCAGTGAGAGCATCATCAGATTGCCTACTCATACTGGCTAGGTTGTCTTTCCACCAAGGAGATTGTGGTTGTCAGCTTGTTGTCCGAGTTGCTGGAGCCTGGCTACCGGTGATGGTAGTGGACTAACCAGCGGCAGCACTTTTCATCTTTTCATGGTGCTGTTCAAAGCTTCATACAATGCGCGGGAGCACTGAGCGAATCGAATCCTTCTTCCTCTGGGTGATTGAATTCTCGCTGTTTTGCTCGCCGTGTCCGCGTGTTTGGCGGCTTCTGACTTGTGTGTATTGTTTGTTTCACTGTTTCAACGTTTCAACAATAATTGACATGGGCTCTATTAAAATAGTTAGCCGTTCAATGTGTCCCATCCAGTCCCATTCCTCCTGACTGACTCGACTCGACTCCTCCAACCTCCCCTCCATGGGATCACTCATATTCACTTTAGTAAAATCGTAGAAGTTGATTACTTCCCAAAATTTGCTTCAAATTCTTTCGTCGAATTTCAAAGCAAATCCGAGTTGCTCCCAGCATTTCTCGCTTTGGAAGGAATTTTACGCTTTGAGGGACTGGAAGACAACTCTACAAAAACTCTTCAAATCACCTCGCGCCCTCGCGGTACTAGCAGCTCTACGGCTCCTTGCCATCAAGTATGTACTGAAGCATGAGTGTAAAATGAAAAAGGACATTGCTTTGGGCTTCATTCTTTCGATGTGTGTCTGAGGATGTCTCGCTGGTTTCATCGTACATCGTACCATACCGTACAGTACGACTGTATCGATCTTCTGGCTGCTGTGAGCTGTGAGGCAAAGCTGAGCCGCCTAGCTACCGGTACTGTAGCCAAGCACAACGAAGCACCAAAAAGGTGAAAAGGTGTAGTTCCAGACGCTTATTTTCCAACCTTAGTAGAAGCGGTGAATGCCAGTAGAAGCTCAGTAGCTATGCCACTCAATACTGTTTAATCGCAGGTGTTCGGAACACAAGCTCACACAATGTCATCTGACATGTTCACAGGTGGTCCAGCTGTTTTGCACGCGGTTTTCCTACCCAGTGAGGTGTGGTGGAGCTTCTGTGGCGATACCGGATTTTCACAGCTCAAGGCCGCAGAACGCAGAACTCGTCGTCTACTGGTTCCCACAGCCTTCCAGCTCCACCTTCACAAGGCCAATCTTCTTCAATCTTCTCACAATTTTCAAAAGTTCCAACTCGAAACACAAACTCGCAAGCACACTTTTCTGCACAAACATCTGTCACCATGCTCAATAAGGTTGCTACTATCCTCCCCTCATCCTTTGTTCCTGGAGAGAACCACATTATCATCGGTCGCGGCCGTTTTGTTAAGCAGCACGTTGCCAATCGTCGGTTCACGAAGATGATCACTGATATTGCCGTCGAGTACTCGGCCGCCCCCTGCAAGGCCGAGAAGGGTGTTATCCTTACCAAGTTGATCAACAGGATCCATGATCAAAGCCCTGATGCTGGGTTCGTACGAAAGGATCCCATCACTGGGCAATGGAGTCTTGTGGAAGAGTCGCTTGCTCGACAAACTGCAGCACAGGCACTGCGCAACCACCTTAGCAGCGAATACCGTTCCTCCAAGCAATTCAAGCAAAAGAGACGCATCGAGCAAATCAAGGAAATGGAAGAGCTCAAGCGAACGAACAGTGGAAACAGCATTGATAATGCAATGCGGGTTTCGGCGCTCTATGGCTCTCCTACCAGGAGTACTTCAACGGCTTCTTCCCGATGCGTGTCTCCTGATGATGACGAAACCAACCAAATCAAGGATACTCTGTCTCTTCTCATGTCCGCGTTTGGCAGCGGTATTAACAAAGGAGATAATCCTTTCGAGCCTCGACCACTTCCTCCATCCATGGACCTTAGCAACCAGCTCAGATTTGAACCCCTTCGATTCGCAGTATAAAAAGCTGCTCCTCTCCGGTCAAAGGCCCCTCTCCTCCCGCTCACATGACCAACCACTGCTCACCAGGACAAACCCAAGCAATCTGTACATATACTATAGACAATATATCCATAATAAATGCCGCAAACACACTGATTCGATTGATTCTACTATTAGAAGTAAAATGTATCTGCTCGCAAATACCAGTACTATAGGGGTGCTGAAAGGTCCGGAGTCAATGGAAGTTTTTTCTCGTCTCTGTGGGACGAAGCGATCCTACCGGTATGATTCAAACTACTGCCGGTTGCCGGTGTTTTGATGTTGAATGCCTTGCGAGTTTCTCGTGGCACCAGCACATCCTGTATTTACACTGCCGCCGCATGATAGCCTCTCAAAGACGAGTCGAGTGACTGAGTCACTCAGTCAAGTAAAGCAGTTTCGGCTCCAAGAATACCGGTAGCTAGCTAAGCTGCCTGGGTGGGGGCGGTCCGTAGATGTTGGACACATAGGTGTTGATTGGACCAGCAGACCAGTCAGCCAGACCAAACAAAGAAGAAACCTTGAGGGTTCCACAGGACCATATTATGTTGTTTCTTCATTTGCAGGAATTTGAGTATGGGATAATTCGGGTTCTCTGCGTAGCTAGCTGCCCTGTTGCTCTGGCTATTAAGGAAGGTCATAAAACCCAAGGTGTCGTGAAAGCTGCCAACCCTGCGATTGAACGCTTGTGGTACAGTAGCTCTTGTGGTACAAGTAATTTGGGTTACTCTGCAAAGATGGAGGCAACCCAAAGAACATAATCTGAAAGCCGACTCATTGGTATGGTGTACAGTATAGTCAGGTTACAGGTAATATCTAAATGTATTTTTAAAATTTCACCAAACTTCTATATTTAGATTGTTGGCTAGCTATCTTGTCAAACACATACTGCAGGTGTAGTTGCAATGCCTCCCAGAAAGGGGAAAAGAGCCACCTCCAAGACTATCCTATCCAGCTAGCTGTCTATCAGAAACTTGTTGATTGGAATGCACACCAACTTGACCAGACAGCCAGTAAACCCCATGACGGAGAATCCAATTGTAGTTGCCCTGACCATCTCCGTGAATTCTTTTCTGTCTGGTTTCTTACACCTCATAACAAAGTTCTTGGTATCCTTGAAGAACCTCAAATAAATTGAAACAAACTCATCCAAATCAAACCGGATGTCAATCTCGGGCTTGGACTCCTTTTCTGACATGTTAATTATTGCAGTTAACAACTTATGTCTCTCCGCAATGAACTTGACTACCTACTCGTTTATTTCAAAAGGGAAGAAGGAATGAAACAGGAAATAGGTGAGCGTTTAGAAAAGATCGGCAAGGCGATAATATCCACCTCAGAGGTGCGATCCACTATTCGCTTCGATTTTTCGTATGTCAGTTCGACGACTACCAGTATCAAACAGAGCTCATGTCTCTATACATGCAGTATCAGGTGTCAATTACTCTAGTAGAGAGAATCATAATAGGATGTGAGGAACAGACTTACTACAGTACTTTCCAAAAATGCCAAGGGTTTGAAAGATAGTTGATTTGTGGGCGTGTGGTACTGAAGTGGTTCTGCCGTGTTGCCGTGTCATTGGCATGTGGTTGTTGTTGTCGTTGGTTGCTGTTCTGCTTCCACCCTGTTTTAACTCTAAATAAACCCTAACATTTGTCGGTAACAATGGGTTATCAGCCGACAATCGTGCTCCGAGTGCTCGACGGGCTTTCGGAACAAGTTTCTCGCGGGACCTCCTCACCAGTTTGCTCTGCAACGTTCTTTGCTTCTCCAAGGTGCTCGTTGGTGCTGTTATTGTGAGTGATACTATGGAGGAAAGATCTAAAAAAATATCTGTAGCATGAATCTCATTTTTATGATTGAACCGAATGCTCCTCGTGCCTTCGTGCATTTGCCTGTTATCCAACTCATAGCCAAGCGGAACCGAGTTGTCGTATAACATCTGGGATTGAGACATTCGCTCCTTCACAACACAAGCAGCAAATTGTTTCATTTTTCGGTCAAGCCAATATCCACAACACGAGCTATAATGATCGACATCGAGAATCCCTCCACACCTCCCACCAAAGCCAAACTATCGCGAGATGGACCTCCCCTCTCTCCGTCCCACACAGCCACAACGTTTCCGTCAGATGGCTCACCTCCCACTGTTACCATCGATCACAAAGTATCCAGAAGTTCACGAGGAGTGGGAGGAAGCCTTTTGTTGGGAATGAGCAAACCTGTATTTGCCTTGGTGGCAGCCACAGTATTGGCCACGAGCGGTTCCGCCGCGTGGTTCTTCTCCGAATGGCTCTCAATACCAGGCTTGAAGGAGCAAGTCAGCGCTCTCGAGGTGGAAGTGACTCGGTTAGAGACTCAAGTGGTCCGATTGGAACACCAAGTCAGTCGACTTTCCCAAGAAGTCGACGATTTGGCCTTTGAGAACGATCGTTATTCGATGCTCAATGCACAGCTTAACGAAACGGCACAAGAATACCAAATACTAAACAACCAGCTGAATGCTTCGACGACACGGCTCGAAAGTCTCAACGAGCAACTGGGCCATTCCAACGGTTTATTTGCCGAGCTCAACGCGGAACTGTCAAATCAGAACCAAGTCTATTCTTCTCTCAACCTGGAACTCAATCAAACCCAGCTGGAGTTGTCTGCCCTCAACGACGATCTACTCTCGGTCGTGACTTTTCTCAACGAGACGTCGACCAACCTTCAAGGGAATCTGGAGAGCATTGTCGACTTCTTGGCTGGACAAATCGACGTCAATCGATTCTTGGTTCTAGAAACGCTAGAGAACACCTATCAACAACGAACTCAAAGCTGGGACTGTGGCTTCCGAGACTTTTTCTTGACCGAGCCCTTCATCCAGGACCCAACGGTATCCATCGGGTCCACTGAGCTTCCTTCAGTGCTTGACTTTATCGAGAGCAGGCTTCTGACCGACCTTTGTCTGGACTTGGACGATATGCAACTCTATCTTCAACAAACGTCAGGGAAAACCGATTTGAGCGACCTCACTTCCAATGAACTGATACAAGGCACCTCGCGCTATGTTACATTAGTTATGGAATACTATTTCGGAGGAAACTATGGCGATGACGGCGGCGTGAGCCCCGAGGAGTGGGGCGAAGCTTCCTACCAATGTCAAAACCTGCAGCTCCCATTTCTATGGAGCTAGCTGCATCCTGGGGTGCTTTTGGTTCTCACCGTGCCGTCGGGGACATATTCTTCAATCTTCTATGACATTCCTGTCTGTACTATTAATATTCTGTTTTAATAATTCCTCCACAATTAGAACTTATGTTTCATGACCGTTTTCCTTCCTGAATGTTGTGGCTCGAGGTGCGAGAGTTGCTCTCTCAAACGATGTGGCTCGAGGTGCGAAAGTTTGCCCACGATATTTCGCACGACTTGTTCAAACAACGTACGGTAGCTATCGCCAACGACGATGTACCGTACGGTATGCATACTGGTGCACCACGAAAGAAAGAAAGGCTAGACCAGGTTTACATACAGCAACATTATAATGGTAGCATGCTACCGTATGCTTAGCTACTGTTTTAGCATTGCCACGGGCCATTGCATTGAGGCGTTCACCCGTCCAGGATTTGTTTCCGTGCGACGTGAAGGGCGTCACACCAGCATGCATTCATTCCGTATCAGCTGTGGTAGACAGGCCAATCGAAAGAACAATGACGAAAACTCGATTCGGATGCTACCTGAATGCAGGTGCTTTCCCAACCATTGCAAATTGTGGGAGACTGTATTACCTCGGCAAACTCACCAGCATATTTCTGACATTGCTCGGCAACTTGCATGTCACGGGGAATTACGCGACTCGTTTTACCAGCAAATTGACATGAAAGCCTTTCCCATCTTTGGCATCCCCTTGCATCACCATGGAGTGACCCCATTTGCGTACTGCTGCTTCCGTGTTCCCCATGGGGATTGTTGGATAGCTGTCCATATTCTTTGCATTCTTGTCGGAGAATTCTAGATAGCGATACCCTTGTTTCCAAATGTAGACTAGCAAATCGACTGGACCCGTCCCGGCCGATGTCAACATGGCAGGGAAGAATTCAAAGGTCAAGTAGTCAAATGGGAATTGTTGTTGTAAATCCAGTCCTTGGAGCGCTTGCAACTCGAATCCTTCAACATCCATTTTGACCAGTCGGAGTTGGTAGGCGTCAGGAGAAACACCTATTTCCTTCAGAACATCTTGGGCTCGTACCAAAGGAATATCCACGTCGAGCGCCGTTCCTTTGTCTCCCGTTTGGAGTTCAAAGGCAGACTGGGCAATGAAGGATGTCATTCCGGGTGATTTGGGGTGTCGTGACAATCGTCCTTTGGAAACCTTGTTGGAAGCCCCTCTGGGGATAATGGTGAGGGTCGTATTCTCCGAGGGAGATGGTTTGTCTCTCCAAAATCCATTCAACTTGGCACTGCTCCGTAGCAACCAAGCTGTATCCGGGCTTGCCTCAAACGCCACCACACGGGCTCCACACGATGCCATGTGCAGGGAATGAAAGCCAATGTTGGCTCCCAAATCCAGTACTAGCATTGGTAAACCATCATCTTGTTGCTGCTGTAGTGGTTGACATACCAGAGTATCCACCAGAGCCGTCGTCGAGTCTTTTTCGTAAATGCCAGTCTGGACGATGTGTGCCGTCACCATGTCGGTCTTCTTGGCGTACGCAAAGAAATGAAATGGCGGATGGGTCGCCGAAGTGGCCAAGATAGTTTCAATTCCCTGGGCTGGCACTCGATCCGATAACGGTTCTGTGTATTGACTACTGCTACCGGCATCATCTGTAGCTCGAAAGCTCTTGGTCGTCCTCACTGCAGTAGTTGTAGTGGGAGCACAGATTTGATGACCATTTCGTCTCAAATTCTCCATCAACAGAACCAGCAGCATCACTTGCACGATTCTCCATCCAAGCATTGTCATCCCCAAACCGCCCCCTCTACCCTCTCCTCTTGACTGATGCGATTTGACGACAGTTGTCATCTATCTTTTACAGTGCTGCACAGTGCAAAAGGAGGAAAGAGACCTGTCGATTGTGGCATTGTAGCCGTTGGATCTTTGAGGGCTCTTTAGCATAACCCGGCAAGGCTGTAACATAAATGACGAGGAGGGTCTTGGGTAGGTCCTTCTGCTACAGTCTTTATAATCTTGTATTTATTCGCTCTATAATATTTAAGAATACTCCAGTTCCCACATTTTTAACTCTAACCCTATTTTAGTACTAGAGCACGTACAATTCTACAGGAATAGTTAGGGTTAGGGATAAAATCAATATTTATTCTCGCTGTTATATTTACTGAATTCCTGAATCCCCCCCCAGTATATATATCTGAATGTTGACTGTACCTCACATGTACTGTTACCTGGTACAATCTAAAAGGGGAGTTTTTAAGAGTAGGTACCAGGAAAGTCCCGCAAAAGCTGAATTTCCTTGAAACTCTCTTAATCAAATACCTTGAACTGTTGAATAATGATCATAAGTGTTGAAAAAGTGTTGATTAAGTGTTGAAAAGTGCTGAAAAAGTGTTGATTAACTGTTGATTCTCTTTCAGCAACTGTTGAAAATACTGTTGAATTTTTGTACAATGTTTTCAACACTTTTACTGCAAACTACTAGTAATAGATTCAACCGGTGTTGAAAACAGTGTTGAACTGTATTCAACAGTGTTGAAAAAGTGTTGAAAAGGTGTTGAAAAGTGTTGAAAAAGTGTTGACTAACTTTTTAACGAATCTCTTGACTGTTGAAACAAAATTCAACACTTTTACATAGCTTTTCAGCGATTTCAGCATTTGCGGGACTTTCCTGAGGGAAGCCATAGCAACGAAGAGTCCAAATTCAGGACTAGGTTCCGTGGGATCAATGATGCTAAAGAGAGATGATGGTACTTACCGGTACTGTAGCTACACAATCATGGGTGACCCAGGAGCGGGTCCTGGCGTTGGTCCAGGTGTGAGACCATGAGTAAGTTAGGCCTGGGAGATGGACCTGTAGCTAGCAGGTCCTGCTGTCGGGCGGGCCTGGAGATGGGACCGTTCTTGGCGACACTGCTGAAGCAGTCTGCCTTTCCTGATAAAGGAACCACTGTTGGGCTTGCTTGGCTGGATGTCGATCTCGCAATTTGCCCCGATCAGCCAATTTCAGAGCAAACAATGATATTGATGTCCTCCTCCCCAGCCACCAGCTAGTGGAGGTAGATGGATTCGATTCGTTCCGATCAACAATGCATCAAAACGACAGATTAAAAACACTGTTGGACACAGCCACGCAATCCTGGTTGCACCACAGCTACCTTGGATGACAACAGAGGGAACAGTACCAGGCCAATTGTTAGAGGCTAGTAGAGCCAGTCAGATTGGAGCTGGATAGGACGATGTTTTCCTTGTAAGCTATTCGGAGGCAGCAAGGGCATCAAACTTGACATCGGAAGTCCTATTGTGGCGCCGAAGAAGTGTGACCGAAGGTGAGATAGTAATCAAGCTTCTTAGCTCCTAGCTATGCATAGTTCCAGCTCCTAATATCGATATCATGCATGAACTGGTTAGTTCAGGGGCAGCTATAAACAGACATAGAGGTTGTCTTGAGCTGTCTTGTCTATCATCCGGTGGTACACCCCCATCCGAGCGCACAGCCTTTTACCATCAAAGAGAGGCTTTGAGAAAAAAGAAAAAATGATCTGGGCGTCAAACCTGACCTGACATCAGAAGCAGTCTTGTGAGCACCCGAGGTGTGACTGAAGGAGCAACTTCCGAGCCGGCCCTGGGTGTTATTACAACGAACTGGTTATTGGGGGGCAGCTGTAAGGCTGCAATGGTTGTCTTTGTAGGTTGGGCCAGACTAGCCAGTGGTACACATACATGCATCAATGACGGCGTGCCGGTAGCCACTGCGTTCTGTTGGCCTGGAGGTAAAGACTGCCTCTGCCAAAAACAAAAAACAATAGGAAAAAGGTTGAATTTTACGTTTGTTTGGAAACATGTGGATCAGGAATGATCCAAGGAGAACAGTTACTCTAGTCTCAATAAAGACTTACTGTCTCCAATTATGAAACAGTTTTATGGGGGATGACGAAAATCAATTCTTTTAGTCAGAATCGATATAATCAGTTTCTACCCCATCCCTAAGAGCAGAATGTAGCTGGTTTAGAAAACTAGGAGCTTTAAAAGGAGACCACCTTCTCCAAAGAAGACAGTAAAGACAGTGCTGTCTCCTTTAATTATGAAGGATGAAAACAGTGCTTATCATTTTAGAAGTTTTTAGCAGCCATGGTTTTTCTTCTTTTTTCAGCCAATACAGACAAACAGACTAATTCAGATGCTGAAGTTGCACTGTGGAGTCAGGCTCATTGATGTTCTCTCCATTCGGCGTTCGGAGTTAGAGGCCTTGAGTATGATTTTGGTGGTTAGTCTACTCAGTAGCAGTAGTACTATTAATTATAACTAATTCTCCGTGCTGCGTTCCAGGACCCACGCTATTAATTAATAAAGCTTTGCTTGCTTCGGAATAAAGCAGATCTTGTCTGATCGAAGAACCTCTCCGATCAATTGGTGCATTTCCGAAGAGTCCTGCCTTTTAAGTGGTGAATTTCACTGTAACCTTTTGTAATCCCGTCGTCCGCAATAGCAGCCAATTCAGCGTTGCGAGAGGCTTTTTTCCATCCACCAAGAGCAGCTCACCGAGCACAAAAGTCGCTAATAGCCGCAGTACCGGTACACCGTAACGTAGCTGGCAACACAAAGAAGTCTGATGCAATAAAGCCAGCAAGAGACCTGCACCAGGGATTGATTTGCTTCATTTCATTGACAGACGACCGTGGCCTGAGCAACAAACAACATCCACAAGCACCATGAAGAGCATCTCGTCGCACTCGTTCAAGTCTTTGACGACCAAGCTCAAGGGCTCGGACACGTCTCCCGTGTCGTCGCTACGATCGTTTGACGGGCCATTGTGTGATGAGAAGCTATTGCTGCCACAACATGAATTTGCGGCACGGGTCGAAAAGGCACTGGAACATGACGTTTGTGGTCCACTGTCGTCTCGACAACTCAAGCTCTCGGCCGTTCCTTTTGTCGGGCGGGACCGAGAAATGCAGCATCTCAACGAGGCGTTGGATCGACTGTTGGCCCGACAAGAAGAAAGCGACGATAGTGACGACGACGACGATAGTGACGATGAATCAATAGAAGCTCCGCCCAACGTAATTGCCATCTCGGGAGCACCGGGGTGTGGCAAGTCGTCCTTGGCATCGCAGCTTCGGACGCGAGTCTTGGAATCCGGAGGATACTTTTTGAGTGGCAAGTTTGGCGATGGCACCAGTACCACGGCCGCATCAACCACAGCTAGTAGTACCGGTAGTGCCGCAGGTGGTAACAGCAGCAATAGCTCTGGCGGAGGAGAAGCGTACAGTGGTCTAGCCATGGCCATGGAAGACTTTGCCGAGCAGATTCTGGAACGAGATTGGGACAAGGCCATCCGAAACAAGTTGCACGAGTTTCTACAGGGAAACGAGACGGTTCTCTTGGATGTATTCCCAGCCCTTCAAACAGTCTTGTCGTCGGAAGAGGATTCTACCACGGAAGAAACACAACAAGACAACAAGGCTGATGATCAGGAGCAAGCCATTGCAACAACACCCAACCAAGCTGGTGAAGAATCAGACGCTGGCTACAAGAGATCCGAAGAGTCCAGGGACAACCGAAGCAAACGACGGGTTTTCTTCTTTCAACAATTCTTTCATGCCGTCCTGTCGGCTAGTAGTAGCGGTCACAAACAGTCCAAAAAGCCATGTATAGTCTTGGTACTGGACGACGTTCAATGGATTGGCAAGGCGTCTCTGGATTTGCTGAGCTCATTGGTTCGGGATCCCGATCTGGGATCCTTTCTACTCATCACCACCAATCGCCCCATTCCACCGGATCATCCCAATCAGATCATACCTCAACAAATGGATGCCTGGAGAACCGAACGAGTTCGGATACACGAATACGCTCTGGAGAATCTGTGTATCTCCAGTGTCGATGACATTGTCACTGCCTGTCTGGATCTCAAACAACAGCAAGATGAATACAACCACCTGGATTGTCAAGATAGCATTACATTTCCACTGGCACAAATCATTCATCAACGAACCCAAGGCAATCCATTCTTTGCCGTCGAGTTGTTGAAAGCACTCGTCGATCAACAGTTGCTCACATTTAGCTATGCCTCCATGGATTGGACCTGGGACATTGACAAGGTGTATTCGCTCGGTATGACCATGACGGACAGTCCCGTCGATTTACTCATTGCCAAAGTCAAACGATTACCACCCAATCATCAGCTAATTCTATTGATATCATCCTGTCTCGGTGGAACCTTCAAGGCTCCATTGATTCGAAAAGTGTTGCAATCATTGAACCACCCTTCTGCTGCTACTACCAGCAATCATGATAATAAGGTTTGCGAGAGTGACACTGATGACAAATCCATCTTGTCACTCATGACCAACAATAGCAACAGCAGCAAGAATGTTCCCGTCTTGGAAACTCTGGAAACATTTGTTCAGTCGGGACTACTGGAACGCAATGGCAAGTGCTTCTACTTTGTACACGACATTATACGACAAGCCGCCAAGGAGTTTGTGTCGCCGGAACATTTGGAATGGATGCGGCTGCGAGTGGGCGAAACCATCCTGCGAGGCATCAAGTTGTCGTCGTCGTCGACCACGTCGCAAGATGCGCGCCGCGTCAAGAACGAAACCAACTTGTTTCTGGGGGTCGACCTTTGCAACAGTGCCTTGCGTCTTTTGGGGGAAAACCAAAGGGAGACAACAACAAGTGGTATTGAGGTGGTGGTAGAAAACGGTAATAGTCACGACAACAGCCATCATCTCGAGCTACTGGACTTGGCTCGATACAATCTTTGTTCGGGGGAAAAGGCCATGCGGGAGTCCGCCTTTGTACAAGCCGTTCGTTACTTCAAGACGGGCATTCAAATCTTGCAAATGGCGCAGCAGCAACCCGACCACGCCAACAACAACGACAGGACTACTATCGACGATGAGCTACGGGCGGGCCTGTTGTCAGGAGCCGCAGAAGCCAGCTATTGCTCGGGAAACTACGAAGATATGAACGTTTTTGCCGAACAGCTTCTCGACCGAAGCGACTGTCCCGAAGAGGTCAGATTGCGCATGCTGTTCTTCAAGGTACAATCCGCCGCTGCCCAAGAGTTTGCACACGAAGCATTGGATATTGGCTACGCTGCCGTACAGTTGCTGGGAATGGCAACCTTCCCGCGATACCCCACACCATTTCATGTGTTGACGGAAATTATCAAAACCAAACGGGCACTCCGGAATCATACACTGGAGACATTGAAAGAGCTGCCGGTCGTGACTGATACGAGACGAATCGCTGCCATGGAATTTCTAAATGCCATGAAGGGCCCCGCCGGTGTATCCAATCAAAATTTCCTCATTGTAACCTTTCTCAAGTCGGTTCGATGGGCTGTCAAGTACGGTCTTGGGAAACACTCGCCCGGTGGATTTGCCGTGTACGGTACCATTCTCAATGCCATGTTTGGGGAGGCAGATTCGGCCGTCATGTTTGGGGACTTGGCACTGGCGTTGGCGGAACGAATGGGTGTGCAAGAAACTACCGCCGAAACATCGACGCTGACATTTGGAATGCTGCGCCATTGGACGAGTGACATGCGAAGCTGCTATCCTCCTTTAGTGTACGCTCAAAAGCTTGCCTTGGAATGCGGTGATATCGAGACTGTGACATTCTGCTTTGTATTTGGGAGCATTATACTGTGGTGCACGGCGTTGATATCACTCCCTGAAATGGGACGGCACTTGCAACGACAATGTGTCATGTGTCGGGACTTTAAGCACTGGTCCATGTTGGAGATTCTCACCAATCTTGGGATTCATCTGCGACGATTGTGCCGTGGCAAGGAAGATCATGCGTTTGTCTGGCTGGATGACCCTGAAACATCCAGCCTCAAGTCAGGTGGGAGCGCGGAGAAGAAACCCAAAGCCAATGTCCGAGATCCCACCATTGAGTTGTTTTATGATTGCATGGCACTGCAATCGCACGTGCTGTTGGAGGAATGTCGAGAAGCCCTCGATTGTGCCAAACGAACCTATGCCATGGGTACCGAGCTTTGCATTGGACAAGCGTATGTGCCTCGTACTCAGTTTTACCGCGGTGTGATCCATCTGTCGTGTGCTGCCAAGCACAGCCTGACTTCCTGGAAACACTTGTACGAGGCCAAGCGAGCATTGTCGCTCTTGAAGAAATGGGCCAAGAATGGCGAGAACAATCACAATTCCGATCACATGATTAGTCTTCTGGATGCCGAATTGGCACGAATCCGTAACCGCAAAACGAAGGCGAAACAATGCTATTCCAATTCCATTGCTCAAGCGCAAGAGAGCGGGCACATTCAAGATGCCGCCCTGGGGCACAAATGTGCCGCCGAGTTTTATCTTGCTGTGGATAAAGACAAGGCCACGGCAGCGTATCATGCGGAGCAAGCCGTTCGTTGCTTTCGCAGTTGGGGAGCCAGTGCGGTTGCAGCCCAATTGGAGCAGCGGTATGAGACGTTGCTCGTGGCAGAAGATGGTGCTTCCAGTTTGAACAGCAACCAGCAATGAGTGAATAGCTAGCTACAGTTTTTTATAGAAATATAGAACTAACAATTTTGAACAGGCAATGAAAATCTGCAATTGCACTACACGCACCAGCGTCCACATCAGAATAAGACATCCTTCTTTAGGGCTGCACTTTCAACTCGCTAGCTAGGAAAGTTATGGGGGTACTGGTAATAGGTATGAAACTGTGGGTAACAGGCACCGTTGCCCAAATAGAGTCGGCACGTTGTTTTCAGCCTGATTCAGTTCCCTTTACATGACTCAGCTGCG